TGTGCATATATACATGTCATTACTTGTATCACATATGCCAAAATTTTCATACATACATACATACATACATATGTATGTACTTACCCTCCGGCAACACATAAATTTCGGTAAACGCACATTCATTAAATATTTAAAACATTAAACATTTACCGAATTACATTTCACGAGCACAATAGATGCACTAAAAAGCACCAAAAAAAGTAAAAATAAAAAACATAAATAAATAAAAAATTATAAAAAGCAGGAGGAAGCGTTTTTTATACAGATTTTCGTGTATGCCCGAAAAAATAAGTAGAAGAAGAAGAAGAGTAAACAAAATTTGTTGATTTAAAATTGCATAAATTCGTTGAAAGCTGAGAGGAGGAGAGGCGGGCGGGCTGAGCGAGAGTTTCGGTAAATAAATACTTAAAACCTTATTTTGTTCGCTTATAAATTTCAGCGAGTCGCAAATGTTTTTTTTTTGGTTTTTTTTTGCAAAAGTCGAAAACACGAATAATTTATAATATTTGCTTTAAAAATTGTTCGCTGCCAAATGTGCTTAATTCTGGAATAATGCAAATATTGCCAAATTTTAGGGTTTTAAAAATCTCTCACGCGCATAATGAGTGTATTTGAGGTGGAACTTAAGCAGCGAAAACGTTTAATGAGTGATATCAGAAGAAGAGAGGAGAGTAATACTTAGCTTTGGTTAATTGATAGAAAGAGATCTCCGACACTCGCAGAGGAGAACAGACGCTCAAAGTATAGAAAGGGCGGCCGCAAAGACTAAGTGGGTAATAGTGAGTGCTCCGAGCTGCATTTTCTAGAGCTCAAGTTTCAGCCAGTTCAGCATATAAATTACTTTTTTTTTCGTTAATACGATCGTGCATCGATAAGAAATATTAATCCTTTCGAGCTTATTCTTGATGTGAAATAAAAGTCTATCCATCTGGCACTCGAAGATATTTCCAAAACAACCTCGACGAGCACGGATACCATTTTTTTTTTGAAGGGCGCAAAAAGATTTTGGTTTCAATGAAATTCCCATATTTCTAAAATGGCCCTTTAAAAACAGTGCATTTGGAGGTCCTCAAGTTGTTAAACTCATTCACCTTTTTATAAATGGTAGGTATCATGTGGTGTAGGAATTATGACGAAATCCACTTATGGTGGGGCTCTTCACAGATTTTAACTTCATTTGTATTATTTTCATACGTCCGTCTTGGTACTATTGCTAAAAGGGACGAGGGGAAATATTCCTAAAGTCAGAGAGTAGCAGCTCAATACGACCCTCCCAAAGGGTGAGTAGTTACTTACTACCTCCAAAAATTTAACATACCTAAAGGCGAGGAAAGTACCTCATCACAACCTTCTCAGCGGGTGAGTAGCTCCTCATTACCTGCAAATCCTTTTAATATTCGTAAAGGGTGAAGTAGTTCATTACCACCTCCTAATCCCTGACTATTTGCTACTCTCACCTCACAATGACCTACTGAAGGATCACATTCGTGCTATGGAAGACTGGCACGAGCCCAACCACATAGTAGCCAGCTGAATAATTGATGAACATTGCCTTCCTAAATCATTAGCAAATATTCATCCAACAAGTGGCACCCGGTTTCCGCATCTGCTTTACCCGGTAGACGTTACCGAGCATTCATCCTAATTTTTTCTTGTTCTCAATAAACACTAAACTAGCAAACATCATCGAGTTCATGTTAAGACTTCGAAAAGTACCTACTCGGTTCACACTCACTCAAATAAGTAAAGACTTTTTGGAGATTGTATCAAGAACGGCATTCGTGATAGAAGTCATCTAAGGTCGCTCTGCCGTTTTCACTCAGATGCTCTCCCGATGTATAAAGACCTAGCTCCACAAGTCGGCCAACATTTCTGTCATAGCGAAAGGTGCAGAGTCGGTTTTTGGAGATTTCTGGGGAGAGGTTTTACGACGATGGCATTGTGAACATTTCGAGCTATACAGGTTGATATAGTCCATATAGTCGCTGTGAAATGCCATGTTGTTCGAATAGACGAGAGTAATCCAGCTTTGAAAGCTTCCGATGCAATACCCACTAGTGGAAACAGAGGAAGAGAAAGACCTTTGCTCCATTGGAAACATCTGGTGGTAAAGAAGCTGGCTTCACTTAGTATCTCCAAATTGGCATCGAACGGGCTGCAAAAGAAGAGACTGGTGTGATATAGCTGATTCTACTATATTTTCGAGAGAAGCCTACACGCATTATGAAGAAGATGACGAAGTAAACGTCACAAAAGCGCACAATGTACCGCCTTTGGCTCATAATCCATAGACTTTGTGATTGTTATGGCTTAACCCCGCTTAGGAGCAGACGAAACTAGACCAAATCGTCGAGTTCGGATAAAGCGATGATTTCAGGATTACATTTACGAAGAAACCAATGAGATGGGTAGCCATATAATCCTAAAACCTTGTGCTGCTTACACCAATGAGTGCAGTGGAAAAGTTCGTTTTCATAATTTTTTATTTAATTTTATTTAACTTTTTTCCCTTAGAAAAGCCCACCAAGCGTAATGCAGGACAAATGCTCGCTCGCCCACTTATGAATGCCTCAGAGAGTCATTAGGATATTACTAAACTCACTAATTTTCAAATTTGTAGCAACAAAATAATATTAATAAGCAACAAAAAATAGGCAATTCAACGCTGCCTTTAACCCACAGCGGGTGGCAGCTCACCCCTCCAGCTTTGCGTGATAACTCCTGTGGCTGTGGCTGTAGCAGTGCAAGCGCGTTGTTGGTAACTTATATCCAAAAACAGCATGAGGTCACAGTGATACCAGCAAGAGCACCAGCAATAGCAACAACAACAGCAATAGTAGCTGCAGCAGAGGTAGCCGACTGCGGCGGAGAGTAGCTAAGCCAAAATGTAAGCTAACACCGAAAAAAAGGACGTTGCAACACGTACATACATATGTATGTGTGTGCATATAAAAATAACAAAAAATATATACATATATGTATGTACATACATATTTATGATCAATGAGCCAAAACGCCTGTCTGTTTGTTGCGCTGCTGGCGACCAACTTGGCTGCGCTCGTGTTCGTGTTCGTGTTCGAACGGTGCGGAAATTGATTTTTATAAAATAAGCGGCACATATGTGCGAAAATATCATACGAAAAAATTAATGTATGCACTTCTGTGCAAGTAGTGCCACCTCACTATGTACATATGTACATATGTATTTATGTGTGTTTGTCTGTTTGTAGGCATATTTTTGTTATTGACTATTGCAACCACCGGATTTGTTGCCATAATACCATTTAACTACCTACCTAACGGTATTGTAAGCGAGAAAAAAACTAACAAATGCTTGAATTATGTTTGCACACACACACACACACATATATACACGCGCAACACACAAGGAGTATTTTGTACGTTTGTACATACATATGTATGTATGTATGCGCTTGAGGGCATAAGCCGCCACCCCCAGTTAAACCCGCTTTGCACTTGTATAATTGCATATGTATGTATGTAAGTATGTATGCACATAATGTATACATACATACATATGTATATCATTTACAGTTTTTCGTGATACTTCAAGTGCCATTCGCTAATAAAGAGTTATTTGTTGCTCTTGTTGTAGTTGTAATTGTAGTTATTCACGCCTCGCCTGCCCATCAAATCAATTACAAAGGCCATTGCATCATTTATCCGTCCATATGTCCTTGGCATCCGGGCGGAGAGTCATTGCGTCATTGAATCATTGAGTATCACTTTGCATATCCACGAAAATAAATAGTATGTACATACATATTTATGTATGCATGTATGGAGTACTCATTTTTATGCTTGAGACCTATGTTTAGAAGAGCACACACGCACAAACACTGTTTAGCTGCTTGTTCTTGTTCATTTAAGTTAATGTGCGTTTGCATGTGCATATGTAAATATATGCAATACATATGTATGTACGAGTATGTCAGTGGCCTTGTCCGTTGATGTGTTGTTGCTTTTGTTGATTTATTATATTATATTTAAATTTCCGGTCTTTGAGCATTCACATCAGATTGCCTTTAATTATGCTGTTGTTGTTGATTTTATTAAATTTGTTTGGTATTGTTGTTGTTGTTTTTTCATTGCTGTTGTTACTTTATTCAATACAACTTTCTATCTCTCCGCTGGCAAAAATGATGAGCTCCGCTCACTTACGGTTACCAGCATGCCCGTTGTCTCTCTCTCTCAATCTCTCGCTCTATAACTGATTTGTTATTGCTTCAATGTCTTTGCTGCTTTTACTCCAAGTAAATATTATTTCGTTTTTCTTTTTTTTTGTTTTTTTTTTTTGAAAAATGTGAAAATGTGTGGTTGCACAAAGCAGTTAATTTGTGTTTACGAACTTGTTTGTAGATAATAATTAAATATGAGCACATCTGTACAAATTTATTAGTACTTTGGTAACTATTATTGTTGTTATACTTCAAAGAAAAAAAGGATGTGTATTGTAGTTGGTGCGGATGATAAAGATTATCTAGGATAATTATTACGTAATGTAAATTTTGTATTCTTGAAAATTATTTTTGCTCTGAATGAGCTTTGACCGCATGCAATTACCTCCATAGTTACGAAACGAGTTAAGACCAAAGTTGATAAACATACATATGTACATACATACACACATATGTACATATTTTATTTTTAAGACTAAAAACAAAGCAAATGTATGTTTTTCTACTAAACATTTGTATCTGAATGAGCAAAATTTCTTAATTTCATCCGAAAATTTCCTTTAAATGGCATTAATTTGGTTTGACTCATTTTACAAAAATGTCCTTTACATATTGTACATATGTACATATTTATACGCATATTTTCCAATAAATGCTTGCTTCATTTGCTAAGAAAAAAAAAGTTTTTAAGGTCAAAATAAACTTTGTCGTTATTTTCCTTCATCTCAACCACCCTGTTGAACTGTCAGTATTTGTTTTTACACAACATTTTTACTCGCAAATTTTGCTGAAAAATCCATAAATTACACAAAATAAAATTTTTTAATCTAAAGTGAGTTGAAATTATTAATTTTTATTGGAAAATCATCGAATCATCATTCATTTCAATCATTTAATAATATATATATACCTACGTGTTTTTTAACGCCCCCACAGCAACACCTTTTAGTAAAATTCTCTTATTTACATTGGGTGCCCTCCAGTTTGGTGCCATTTTGTACTGAGATATCATTAAATCTGTGGCTGCAGTGGCGTTGATACGTAAGTATCCACAGTGTAGTGCCGAAAAATCAAAGCAACTTTATCTGAGAGCTTGAAAAAATAGTATGTGGAGACGTTCTTTTCTGTCGCATTGACAGCCGAGTCAACAACAGCACACCTATTGGACACGTCAAGTGAAGCCATTTGAAGTCGTTGTCTATGTGAAATAGTCAACTATAGTTGCCGTATTCCTTACCGAACTTTCCCACTTCTACATTGCCAGACAGCAAGAGGGGCGACTTTCTCCTGAGGACTCTTTCCGGTACCCCAAAAATATTCCCACACAAACCAACCATACTACGAGTGACATTCGGCAGCCTGCACTCTTTCACCACACAAGCGACAGCGATGCTCACCAAAGTACAGATCCGCAACAAAATCTTTTAATCGCTAGCTGGCTGCTCCTGTTAGGTACAAAAATGCTGATGACTTACTTACATGACGGACGCCTTGAGGAAGTTGCAGTGCTATCAAAACGTCGCAAACTCAGACTACGTGAAAATCCTGAGTTTTTTGTGTTTCTGCTCAGGCGGCTCCGATACATACACCACCCCACTTCCATTCGCTTCTAGATTCATTTCTGCTGTTAATCATATTTTCTCTCTTTGACTATCTTGCAGTCAGGCTAAGGAACGTCTATTTAATCAACCTTGATTGAGGACACAGCTACGCCCTCTTCATGCTTTTTATTCTTATGTCAATTAAGTAGTCGTGGAAAAGTCATCCCTATGAACTCAATTTACTAAGTGTGCAGATCGCTTCTCCCTTTCCTGTTGTTGTTGTATAGTGACTAGTTCAACCTCAGCTGGGAGCAACTAAAATATGTACGACGCAGACATCTAACGGGAGGTCTTGGACCAAAGAAAAAGAAGTGTTAGATTAGTTGGCATTTATGGGCAGGAAAAGAGGTGGTTAAAGCCGTGCGGAGGCTCATACGTCAAGTATGGTGAAATCCAGTGCAGATAAGTAGAGGTTGAGTTTACTACAGTATTCAGACAGTTGGTTTACGAAGACGTCATTCACACACAGAGAGCCTACAATGGTGTTAACAGACTCTCTGTGAATGACTTTAGGGTCTGTAGGTATGCCGTTCTGTCCAGCGGTTTGATGCTGTGGTGCTGAATAGAGTCCTTTTATCTCAAGTGCTGCCTTTCTGATCTTTCTATATGCCGATTCTGCTTCCAGTAGAACGTTACCGAAGGGTTTATCCATAAAGCTTACATAGTAAATTCATTATTGTTCCTTAACTGCGAGCATTGATGTTTCACTGTGCAAGTGGTGCATAGGAGACACCACTAGGCTAACCGTAACGGTGTCGAGGGGGAAGGGGGTAACACGGGTTAGGTCAAGGTATAGGGTTTCGGCTTGCAAGCTAATGCAAGTGCTCGAATTTTCTTTATACCTAGGGTCCTTAAAATCAGTCACATACGTTCACATCTCCTGCTTAAAGAGAGCAGAACTTCTATTGGACTTACGAAACTTACTTACGTTTGTTTTCCGCTGTACAGAAGCGTGTGATCATCATTGTAGGTGTGAAAGTGGTGTGAAAGTGCTGAACACAACCCGGTGATAGCCAAGTAGTTAAACAAATTTTTTGGTTTTTAAGTTGGACAACCATATTTGAAGCCATGAGGATGTGCTTGAAATATGGTTCTCATCTCATACAAAATCGTAGTTGTTCATTGATCAGTTCTTCTACGAGGCGAGTGCCCGATCCAGCACTCAGTTGGATGAAGGAGAGGACGTAACTCAGGTTGTATCAATTTTGGCAGCTTCAAGTGGGTATAGACTAAATTTTAAGCTTGCTTTCAAAGAGAAAGAAGTCATATTTCACCAAAGAGTTTGAATCTCATCCAACTGAGTTTCACCTTTATTCCACAAATGAATTAAATGATGTAGAAAATTACAAAAGTACTTCATTAACAATAAAAATATATACATATATATGTATGTAAGAATGAAAGCACATACCATTCGAGCAAAGCCCTAACGTCATTTCACCCACGCGCTCGTTTCTCCCATTCCAACACCCCCACACACCGAAGTTCAGCTGCAGCACAGCAACGCAACACAATGTAACGATTTGAAATAATTTGATTACCCATTAAAAAGTTTTAAATGTCATCTCATCAACGTGCTGCGAGCAGATTTTGTGACTTGGAACATTTGACGAATCATAAAATTAGAGAAAATTAAATTAAGTTAAACAAACCGCGACAGTTTCCACAACCAACCAACCGACCAACCAACCGACCGACCAACTCACAAACACTGAGCGCAGAAGGGCGAGGACAAACGTTTGCGAAAATTGATTTGTACGAATCCAATGACAGTTGAAGGTGCAGAGCGAGTGAGAGCGCGAGGTAGTGAGAGTGCGAGAGTGTGGGTGGTCGCTAGCTTACCGCTATTAAATGAAACGTCATTTGTGCTTAATACAATTTTCAAAATTAGAAAATACCACAAAATCGAAGTGATTTGAGTGTGATTTGTGTGCGATAGGCGTGCTTTTGTAGCTGTAAGGAGTAGAGAAGAGTAGGATATTTCATGCAAATTTTTCCCAACATCTCTTTTTTGACATTTTAAAGTCAAGTCAAACAATCGAAAAGCGAATTAGTGAAATTCAACTGTTTTTTTTCGGCTGTTGCGCGTGCCGTAAGGTGCCACAGAGCTGCTATGCCGCGACAAACTGACTAGCCAGCCAGAGGGAATAAATACTCGGTTGCATCGGCTGAGTTCAATGGCTTGATTATGACGCCTGGGAGGCAGACGCACAAGGCAACGCAAGTACATAACCAATAATAGCAACAACAAAAACAACAGACTAAAGAAATAATTTGTTGTGCATTTAATCTTTAGCGTTTAATAGGCATAAAAGCCATAAACACAGGGTGCCACAGGCATGAAAACAAATGTAAATTCCAGCGTAAAAATTCATATGAATTTTTCTTTTGTTGTTGTTGTAGGCAACTTTTGACTATTCCCAGGCGTACGTAAATATTTAATTTTTGCTATTTTTTTCCCTAGTCTGTTTAGTCCAATTTTTTTTTTTTGTTTGATGTCGCTTGTCAGAGTATGGGCCGTGGCAAGGTTAATTATATGTAACGGTGTGGAGTTCATAAGCGAGAGTTCACTATAAAATGAACTATTAATGAATTATTTTGTGATTTTAGTGCACCCACGGGAACGCGGTGAGCGGCGTGTATCAACTATGTGTAGAAGAAGCAGAAAAAAATGTCATAACTAAACATACATATAATTATGGCGGCTGCTTGAGCATGTCGCTCACTGCATTGGAGAAAACTGAAATTGAGACAAATATGGTTGCACATACGGAAATACAGTCTTGATGAGATCCATAGATGCGCTTGTGTGGAAACAATAGAACTCTAAGACGGAGCTGTTTGCAGGCCCCCTATACAGCTTCCACTAATTGCATATTTTTCCAACTCCATTCGAATAGCAGCGACGCCGTGAGTATGTTATTCATTTCTACCTCCCTGACATGGGCCGTAACGGAAGAGGAAAGGCTTAACATTTCCTCTGAGTCTAGATTTACGAGATGCGTTGACAAATCCAGAGTGAAGCCTTGGGTGATGGCTAAAAGAGCTGAAGCCGTAGTGGAGTCACATCGATATATCCGATGCAAGGGATTACTAGAGTCCTTGGGCCGCATTTATTCATTAGAAGTGTAGCTCCGAGCAGGCGTCGATCTTGAGGCAAGCGACTCGCTATATAAGTGTCTCCAGAATTCAAACATACTCGCGAAAGGAGGTTGTGCACCAGGCTTGGTACTTACCCAATGAAAAAGAGGCAACAAGTTGGAAAGAGAGACGCCCGCTCCCTTTTGATGACAACCATGGAAAAATGTACTATGTCATGTACCCGATATGTTTGATAGCTTAATTGGGAAAGTGCCACTGCACAGCTGGTTGATGTCTTCGTCTTAGAATTGCGATGGACGGGATACGGACAGAAACGAGTTGGTTGCTGTGATATGTACTACAGTAGCCACATAAAGGGGAGACTTCGTTGACGGATTCTGGCCGATTCAGCCCGATGGATGATTATGACACCCCAATCCGAATCAAAACGAAATTTTTCCCATACATCGCTGCTTTGCGCCTACGCCCCGATGGAAGTGAAGCTCGAACGGTGTAACCAAAGTAGACTTTTTGATTGCCTGGAGCTTACTTATGATCGCTGGGTGGGGAAAGAGGGTATCTTTGGTAGTACAGTTGGAAAATTCAACAGAATGACTAAACATCCGCAAATGGAGGCACGAAGTGATGCCAAATCGGTCTATACCATCCCTTTATTAGCTGAGCTACACATGTCGCCGGTAAATTTCATACGGCTGAACGTTCCATTGTCTGTGGTACTCGCCTTTGCCAATGTGCAAAGTACCACAAATGCTCCACAAAAGCGTCCTCTCGGAATCTAAAAATAATTATTGTCATCGTCCATGCTCCGGCACCAAGAATGATGAGCGTCTTGTAGAGTTTGGTCTCTGTTTGACGAGAGAGGACTTTATTTTTCAATAGCCTACTCAGTGGAAAACCGGCCAGAATGATTCCACATTAGATTTCAAGGCCGACCTTGTTGGTGATGTTGATTCTCTTCCTCAGATAGATTAAATTGTTTGTCGTCTTGTAGGTATAAACAATGACGTGAAAGCCAAGACGCGAGTGCGCTGACAAGTTTTGCAGGAATACCAGATCAGGCTTAGCAGCAACCTGTGAGACTGGCCGCCGATTTATGGATGCCTAACTGTATTCGTCAAACTCCTCTGAG